ACTAATAATATTATTGATATTAATTTATCAGTAATATTATAAAAATAATAATATATAAAATTTATTTATTTAATAATAATAAATATATATCATTTAATACATTAACAAAAATTATAATATACATTAACTTGAATAGACAAATAATTAATAATTTTAAAATATTGTGTATATATATATATATTAAAATTATTAAATTTTTAATGGAGGAGACTAAAATCGTAAAATCATAATATTTGAGGAACTAAAATTGTTCAATTAAAATTTTAAGAATGAAAATTGCTCAATTGTAATACTTGAGGAATAAAAACACAATTAAGCCTAATATTTTCTTTTAAATTATTTTTTAAGAAACAAACAACTCTCATTATTATTTTTTAAAAACAAGTTATTTCTTCCATCCTATAATAAATATCGTTTTAAATTATTTTATATGAATCAATGAAAGCAGTAAAAAGAACAATAATTTATACATTATAATTAGTTTTTTTTTTCTTTTTAAAAATGATACAACATAAAAACTATAAAAACTGCTTTCAATGTAATATTATTAGAGATATAAATAAAAAATAATAATAACAAGACACACTTATTTTATTTTATTTTTTCCCTATGCAACACTTTTTACCAGAAGGAAGACATACGACTTTTAAATTACCTTCTTAAAACAACCACTTTCAATTTTAGATTCTACCTGAGAGAATATATATATATACCAAAAAAGAAAATAAGAAGAAAAAAAAAAAATATCAAAAAAGTCCTCTTTGAAATCTGACATTGTGCTCAACACAGGCTCCCCTTTGCTTTATATATCCCCTCCACCTCCGAAGCAGAAAGCTAAATCCACCACTTCACTCATCACTACCTCTCTTTTTTATATTTCTCTCTTTCTTTCTCCATTGATCTTTTCTCATCACACATAAATGGCATCACACCTACCCTTCATAGCTACCATCACCGTCTTCCTCTTTCTCTCTCTCTCCCTCACCCCTTCCCACTCCGCCACCACCTGCGCCTCCCCAAAGCTTCCCTCCAACCGCACCTTCGCCAACTGCACCGCCCTCACGGCGCTCGGCGCCACCCTCCACTACAGCTACAACGCCACCAACCGCTCCCTGGCGGTGGCCTTCGCCGCCGCGCCGCCCTCCGCCGTGGGGTGGGTCGCCTGGGGCCTCAACCTGGGCGGCTTCGGCATGGTCGGCGCTCAGGCCCTGGTCGCCATCCCCGCCGACGGTGCCGTGGCCGTCCACCGCTACAACCTCTCCTCCTACAAGGACGTTAGCGAGGTGAAGGCCTTCTCCTTCGACTCATGGAACGTCTCCGCGGAACAGACTAACGGCGTCATAACGATCTACGCGTCCGTCAAGATCCCGGAAACGGCGCCCAACGTCAGCCACGTGTGGCAGGTTGGCCCCGTCTCCGGAGGGAAGCCCGATATCCACGCCTTGAAGTCGGAGAACATCAAATCCAAGGCGGCGCTGCCCTTCGCGGTGGAGGCCGCGGCGGCGACTGGGAACGCCACCGGCAACGCGACTGCGCCCGCGAGTGGGGAAAAGAGTGCTTCCGCGGGAGAGAGGCTTCACGTTTGGTGGGTGCTCGCATTCATTATGGGCCTTGTCGCCTTTTGATGTGATTCTTTTCACTTTTTACTTTTTACCACCTTCAGCCACTTGGTCTCTCAATAATTTTTATTGTACTGTCATATTTCCATTTTTTTAAATATTTATTGTAGTACTATTTTTTTTTGTCTTTATTTATTTATTTATTTGTACGCGTCGTTTTGGGGGGGTTTTGTTTGGGGAGGGTAGATCATTGATGGGTTGTAGTGTGTAGTGTGTACTCGTTAGAAATTCTGCCTTTATTAGCTTCAGATTTTTTTTTTCTTGATTAAATTCGAATTTAACTATTGAGATTTGCAAATATTTTTATTTACTTATGAGGATTATATTAAGATTTGCAATTTTTATTTATTTATTAAAATTATAATAAAGATATTAGATTTTAAATTTAATATTTTAAAGTATATAATATCCTAATCTCTCACCACTGCCCACCGGTTCTTTTTCACCGCTGCCCACTGGTCCGACGTAGTTACGATCTGTTAACATACGATGATAACATTGATTCAAGATACTGCTGTTGTTTCTTTCAATTTTCGGGATAAATCTCAAATACTATTTCTTGTATTATTATTTTTTTCTATACGAGAAATACGTCTTTCAAACGTGCCGTTAAGGATTAACTCAAATATTCCTTGTATTAATTTTTTTTGGTTACGATTAATACGTCTTTTTTGTTTTTAAAGTCAATGAAAAATTAATAAAATAAGAGTTTCGTTAATACAAGAGTAATTTTGAATTTACTATAAGGAGTAAGAACACAAAATATTAAGATCACTATAATTTATAAACTAAATTAATTATTTTTAATATTAATATATTAAGTAATTAGAGAGTGCATTTCATGAGAAGTCAATAATGAGAGAGAGAGCATATTGTAAGAGAAGTCAATAGAACTAGGTTTTGTATGTGTGTATATATAATAATAATATTATTGAATGTATTATTTTATTGATTTTACTTCATCGTGTCAATAAATCTTAACCCATATATATATATATATATATATATATAAATAATAATTATA